TATATAGTTTTGTTTATAGTAATATAGCTGGAATATAACCATGTCAGGAATATGATTTTTTTAACATTAAAAGGATTGACATTTGTATCTGATCGTCAAACAAGTATTGTCTATATTGAGAGATATTGCTCTGGAACAGCATTCAAAATCAGCCATTTTGAATACATGTATATATATAACATGATGTATAACGAATATATAAAATTTTAATATAATTAGTCAAAGCATTTAAGAGATATGGGTCTGGAAGCCCACTCATTAAAACAAAATGGCCGCCAGTCGGCCATTTTGAGTGTTATCTGAAAAACAAAATTATTTGCATCAATGTCCCATAATGTCTAATGTATATATCAAGTTTGATATATGCTTGATTTTGATGATTTTTAGCACAAAAATGACCGCCATTCGGCCATCTTGAATCAGATCTTGAAACAAATTGACGTGCATATGTATAATATCATGTATGATGTATGTGTGAAGTTTGATTGTGATTAGTTCAGGCATTTCTAAGATACAGGTCCGTCCGTACGAACGGACGGACGGACACACGCATGGCAAAACATAAGTCCCCGTTTTCGGACTGTGTCTGAACGAGGACTAAAAAAGAAAGGGGCCAAGGGAATGAAGAAGGAGTTCAGGAAGAGAGGCAAGGAAAGCAGGAAGAGGGTGGAGGCAGGTGGTTGGGGGTGCAGGAAGAGGGTGGAGGCAGGTGGTTGGGGGTGCAGGAAGAGGGCAGAGGCAAGTTGGTGGGGGTGCAGGAAGAGGGCGAAGAAAAATATTCATGAATTGCACGTATTATAATGAGGTGGGCGCAGAAATACATGCACACTGCAGACCCAACATGGCGGCATGTTGAAATTTGAGTTTGTCGTAATCGTCGCTTCTAATTCATCACAATGTGTAAAAAAATAACTCGTACTAGTTGTAGAATAAAAAAAAAAAAAATCGGCTGCTACAATCAGCCGACGTCTTGTAGGTCAGAGGTCAGTTGAAGAGACGTTGTGATTGGCCTAGATGATTGTCAATTCAGACACTCATTAACATAATTACCCGTTGAAAAATCAACGGGTTCCTGCAGTGTCGATAGAGGGTTATGCAGTTGCAGGTGATTTCACACTAACACCTCCATTTCGCGTTTTTTTTAATTTTATTTAAACTACAAAAACAAATTAATCGCCCCGACTGCGCCAGTCTAGTTGTAGGGGTGCAGGAAGAGGGTGGGGCAGATGGTTGAGTGCAGGAAGAGGGTGGGACAGGTGGTTGGGGTGCAGGAAGAGAGTGGGACAGGTGGCACGGTACGAGGTTTTACCCAGAATTCAACACGTTCTGTACCAACGCATATTGCCATGCGCAGAACTGAAAATTCTGGCATCGTTCTGCGCAAACACAGTTTTTAGCTCGTGAGTTGTTTCCGGGTCCGCCTTTCCATGTGCTTATCGTGCGATTTATTGTACCAATATCACATTTTCTGGACGTATTCCTACACAAACATGCTAAGAGCATCCAAAAGAGTCAAGCAGGCAAGTTTAGCCACAAAATCACGTGGGAAATTGGCTTCAACTGCTCAGTCGATTGCCGATGTTGTCGTCGGCACACAAGGTCGTTCGCTTTCTGATCTTTCTTCCGAGATTTTGACTCGAATATTCGGGTTTTGTTGCTTTTTTAATAACAGTGATGACGATAGTTCACAGTTTGAGAAAGTTAAAACGATCTGCTCACTTCGAATGGTTTGTAGGCAATTTTATACTATCGCGTCGAATGATTTGTTCGTTATGGGGGGACGACAAGCTCTACTGCCAGCCGTGCTTTTCACAGATTTAAGCTGATGAAGGCGAGATCGCTCGTTGCTTGTGAAATAGGGCAACTTTTCGATTTGATCATTCAAAAAGGGCCATCTCAAGTAAGACAAGTGGTAAGAAATTTGCTGGAAAATTTAAAGGGTCACGAATGGGACGATTCAAAGAAATATTTGTAAGTCTCTCTTGCAGTTCTATTTAGCACGAAAAGATCAGCAATTTTAAGAAAGCCACTGGGAGTCAAGTGAAAAGTTGTCTGGATTTGATGAGTGCCCTTTGGCAATTACGATTAAATAAAGATAAAGCATTTGCCAAATCAGTATTATCTGTATCATTTTTCAAGAAGATATTCTGCCTCCTTCTGTTAAATTGGCTTTATTAGCAACACACCATCTTCCCAGAAATTAGATCAGACTACAGATGACACTAAATTATGGAATGATTCTGAAGCAGAACACATATTTATCCATCTAGGGGGCGGTCTATCTGAAACTGACTATGATGGTTTAGAGAAATCTCTGAGAACACAAGAAAATGTTTCAAGAATTCCCAGATTAACCACTTTGAGAAATAAACGGTTCCACAATATGGTGTCAGAAA